TTTATATTGATGTTATCTGATACTAGTTCATTAGTTGACGTACATCTATAAAATTGTTTTATTAGCGCTATGTGAAACATTTATAAAATTAGTTTACTAATATTTTCTTGGGATATTATTGCTGTCTAAAGCATTTTACATTCAGATGGAATCTTGAGAAGAATATTATATAATTATCATGAGCTCTGTCATATTAAAGGCTGTATATAATAATTATAAAACAAAGAAACTGTTTGACTAGGTTAAAAGAAAGCATATAGAATGTAGGATTTTCCAATTAAGGGGAAAACAGTTATTGCAGTTATCGAAATTATATTTCCCATATGACTAGCGAACTCTGTTGGAGGGCTTTCAAACTATATCACTAAGGGTGCAAATAGAATGAACAATATGAGAACCAATGGGAACACGGCAAGAAACCAAAGGGTACTCTCAGCGAATCGCTGAAAGCTAAGAGGGTTGGAGATCCTCGATTCTAGCAAGCCGGGTACGGAGGGGAGCCAATGGGCTTCTAAAGTGGTACCCAGAGGGTAATTCCTTTCGCCTATTTAAGCACATGTAGAGGCCACATAACTTCAGTTATCGCTAATTCGCAACTAGTTTTTACTACGAGTGATCGCTGGAAATTTAAGTCGCAAAGTTTCAACGAGTTCTCGATCCGTTTCTCATCATCTAGTTCTGCCGCCCTGTGTTTTAGTAGAAGTTCTCCAAAGAGGTGATAGTTGTTATTTTTTTTAATTTCAATTCCAATAAAGAATCAGATTTGGGAACTAAACCTTTTAATTGGGAAATTACTCTTTGCTTTCAATTGTCTTTAATTTTTCTTCAGTTAAAAATTAATTATGGTCTTAAATAAGGTAATTTTTTTTTTGGTCTTTTTTTTATATTTTACTTAACCTTTTTTTTTTATTATCACTAAATAATTAACACTGACTTTTCTTTTCGCTTATAAATAAATTAGTTTAATCTTTCAAAATTACTCTTTTCTTTTCTGGTTTTAAAATTCCCTCTAAAACACTGGTGGACGCGTAAAAAGTTCTTTCGTGCCGGTTTGTGCATTTGAGAAGAGAAGCAACATTGGCAATAAAAAGGTAAGTCTTCTTGAATTTATAACCCTTTGCACTAACCAAAACCGAAGAAGAAGAGAAATAAGGTTTTGTTTGGATTGCCTCCGGTTCAGAAAATTTGGTATCCCTTTTCAGAATAAATTTAATTACAGCATAATTATGGTACCCACGCAAACTAAGATGTGACAGAATTATTCACGCTACCAAAATGTTTATTCTTCGTAACATCTCAAATTTTGTCACAATGTATTTGAGAATAAGTTTCAGGAGATGAAAAATTGTAAATGAGAATAGGATAAGTTATTAATCAGATTATAAAATTTAAAATTCAGAAGAGGAACATTAATATTCAGGAATGGGAATTGTAATTCAGAATAGGAATATGTATTTCAGAGAGGGGAAATTTAATTTCAGAAAATATTCAAAAAAATTGTAATTCAGATAAGCAATTTCAAACATCAGAAATAGGAAAATGTAATTCAGGATTTGCAACATGTAATTTAGAATCAGTAAATATCTATGAGTGCTTTATTTTCAATTCACTATTGTGAATTACAATTTTGCTTTTCTGAATTTCAGCTTCCTAATCTAAATTTCATTTTCCCTATTCTGAAACTAAATTGACGATTCTTGAAATCAATTTCTCTTTTCTGAACTAGTACAAGTTCCTATTCTGCAATTCATGTTCTATTCTCTAGCTGTAATTTAACTTTGACTTTCTGAATTACAATTGAGAAAGGAGTGTATAGTTGTATTGAATTTTAAAAATTAGAATTTTAGCCAAAAACATTTCATCAGAATTTCAAACAGTTTTCAATACTTTTATCTTTCACCTATCATTATTGTGTTAGGACGTAGATTATATAATTTTATATTCAACTAGTTTCTCATGTTTATTTTCTGTAGTATACCGAGACAGCACAAAGGCAACTTGAACATGTCCCTAATTGAACACAAACGACATTCACGACGTCTGCTTACGTCTTCAAGGCGTCTTAATGACCTCTCAAAGACGTTATATATTACAAAACCTAACGACTTTCAGACTGCCTGAAGACATTTTCAGAACAAATATTTCATTATTAAAACATTCACAAAATTAGTTTTGGAAGAAAAACATTAAAGGAGCCAAGAGTAAAAATTAAAAAACGAATCAAGCGCCTGAACTTCTAAATTACGGGAATAATGTGAATTCAAGAGCTTGGAATGGAAAAATTCAAGAGCCCAAAGAAAATTAAGAATTTAGAATAAAGAAATAAGGGAAAATCAACATTTTCTTACTAATATTTTCCTTATCATTACTCATTTTATAACTTTCAATTTTTGTCTACTCCAGGCGCTAGGCTCTCTGAAATAATTCTGAGGTTTTTAAATTATTCTGAAGCCTTTCAAAATTCTGCTGGAAAATGTTTTAGAACTTTCTAAATGGCTTATTGAAGTTCTAAAGTGTCCTAACTTGGGTTGAAGAGTTTGAAAGCATTCTATTTAGAAGTATTTCAGTTATTTCTAAATTGTTCTGACAGATTTTTAAGTTTTAGAACACTATTGAAGATCCAAAGTGTTTTAAATTGGTTCAAAAGGGTTCTAGAAGGTTTCCAGTTCTAAATTGAATCCTAATTGTTCTAGAATAACTCTGAAGTTTCCCAATTGTTCCATAATGCTTATGAAAATTCTGATTTGGATTTGAGCTGTTTTGGATGCTTATTAAAGGTCTAAAGTTCTACAGCAATCCAAATTGGCTCTCGAAAGCCTTCTGAAAGGCGTTTTGAAACTTTTAACCTCATCCTAAGATTCTGGCGCTTTTCAAAATGTTTCTGGAGCTTCTAGAGTGTTTGAGTGTTTTGAAGCGTCCTAAAATGGGTTTCAAACTTCTGAATTGTTCTTAAATGCTTTTGGAAATTGTGAATCGGTTTTTGAATTTTTTGGAGCATTCTAAAAATGGTTCTGAAATTTCCAAAATGTTCTGAATGCTTTGGAAATTCCGAATTGAATTGCGTTTTAAATTTTCCAAAAGGCCTATTAAAGTTCTAAAGTGTACTGTAGCATTCTAAATGGTTTCCAGTAACTTCTAAATTGAATGAGAAAAATTGGGAAATTTATTTTGTAGACATTTTAAAGACGTCCCTAAAATGTCCACAAACCGGCATTCAGGACATCTTGCTTACGTCTTTAAGGCGTCTTAAAAACATCTTGAAAACGACATATGTTACAAAAACCAACGTCTTTCAGACCCCTACATAAAGACGTCTTCAGGACTAAGACATTCTAAAGACGTCTTCAACGAGATGTCTTAAAGACGTCGTGGAATCTCATTTCAAAACATAAACCATTATTAACTTTTTGGCTTGGTTGTACCAAATGGTTGTCTTTAATATCAGAATTTACGACATCTTGGACATCTTCTAGAAGTTCAGACGTAATTCGGACCCTAAAGAAGACGTCTGTAAGACTTTGTGTGCTGTCTGGGTAGGTACGATCAGTCGCCTTCTGAAAGTTTTTTCTAAGCACAATATTCCATTTTGCAGTCCATTAGGTATACATCATAAGATAACTTGGTGAAACTTTTTTTTAATATCATAAAAATAGAGATACGACGTTTTACCCAATTGATAACTCCGGAACGCATAATCCAATACCAATATAGCTAATTGAAATTTTGAGAATCTGGGTAACTTTTTATGCCGCTTCGAATGTGTACACAATTTCACCACTTTCGTTCAGTTTCGGTCAAGTGACGGCAACTTTAGAATCTTAAATGTAACTTATGGTATAATATGGCATTTTTCGTTAAACAATTAAATTGTACAATCGCAATGCCATATTTGTTAAAGAAAATGATAAAACAAAATTACAAAGTGGAACATTTGATGACGCTTTTTGAAGTTATCACTTGATGGGTAAAACCTCGTGGAACACTCTGTATCTACCTATTACCTATAAGGAATTTAATTCATAGTTTCCCTTCATACAACTAAATAAATAAATAAACTTCCATAGTTAATAAAGAATTCAATAATAGCTCCTTATAATGTCAATATTCTATTAACCTTTTAATATTGATGATAAAACCTTAAAAACCAAAACCATTTGTTATATATCGAAGTAGGTAAAATTATTTCATGACGTAAACGTCCCATCATATTATTTCCTTATCCTTAACAAACATGTTTACAAAATCAAAGGGAGTGTAAAAAGAAATCTCTCCTTCATTATTATCCTTGGACGGTTATCATCGTCATAATAACGTCAACCATTTTTTATCTAGTAAACATGCGTCTAAAAATAAAACCAAAAGACGCAGACAATGTACGCAATCGTCCCTTAAAGGAAAAATAAGAAATATTTTCTAGTAATGGAAAAATCGCAAGTTGAACTTTGGCTAAGTAGTGCGCTTGTGCCGCACGAAGGAGGTGCGAATTATAAACCATTTTGAAATCAATTTTCTATAGTTTTTTTGTCATTTTTTTTCTAAATTCTTACTTATTTTTATTTAAATTAAAACTAATTCAATTGATTTTAAATTCAATCATTGTTAATAGATTTTTGCTAAATATTTTCAAATTTATCAAGAACTTTATTTAAATTTTGTTTGTAGGTACATACATAAGTAGATTTGATTTAATCTCTTTTCATTATAGTTCCTAGTATTTCCTTTTTATTAATCAATAAATTGATTTGTTGGTATAATTTGTATCTGATTTGCGTTATCTTATCCCCATATTTTGATAAATTATTTACCAACCATTTTAACTACTGTATAGTCATAGATACAGTACACATTTTTTTAAAATTAATGAGAATAAAACCCTTGACATGACTTTCCATCGCCGCCCTAATTCGACTCTGAGACCCGGAAAAAAACGTGTGCGTTTTCCACTAAATAGAGGGAAAATAAGCTCAAAAAAAGCACCGCAAACTTAAAACAAAACTTACATAGTGAAATCCTAAATGTGAAACTTAATGGTAAAGTTGAGGGGAAAAATCCTTGTGAAAATCGGGGCACTTGGGTTTTCTCGGGAAAACAGCGGACCTAACTGGGTTTTCGTTATTGACGCGCGTGACGTCACGCTGGCGTTTCACGCACGCGTCGTCCGCCCGACGTTTTTCTTTTTGGCGGTGGGGGCGAGATCCTAGGTCAGGTTTTCATTAATAAATTGATGGAATTTTCACGCTGTCGCTTTTCCGATAATATGCGCGATTCGTTTTGCAGGAAACTTTTGATTTAGCCTATATACGTAGAGACATCTTTTAGCGGAATAGGGCTTTCTGGTTTCACCTACTTTTGTTAAGCGGAATACAACAATGAGGAGGAAGTTATAACTGTTATAAGTATATAAATGTCGTTTTAGAACGTCTTTTTTTGTTGTCCGAATTTCCATCCTCTTATTCTAGCGTCGCAATCCTCTGACGAGAGATTTCTTTCACTCATGGACTTTTGTATGGTATTCTGCCATTCCAGTTTTGGTCTTCCTCGTTTTCTTCTACCTGTTGGTGGCCAATCCAGGATTTTTCTGGGCCAACTGTTATTTAGTATTCGTTCTACGTGTACCGTACCAGGCAAGTAAAACTTAGTAAGTTGTTTCCTTTCAATGTCCTGAACTATCGTGCCTTCTATTCCCATTTGTAGTTTTATATGGTCGTTTCCTTATTCCTTCGTGAGATTCGCGTGGATCTTCTAATAGGATCTATTTCAACAACTGCTTCCACTTTATTCTTTTGTCTGTTTAATTCTCCAATTCTCGGCTTCATAGGTATAGAAAGCTGCTCTTATCATTGTCTCGTGTATATTGAATTTTCTCTTTTTTGTTATTTCCTTGCTTCAATAAGATTCCATTTAGGCATTCTTTTACTTTTTTAGCTTTAACTTTTCGCTTCTCTATTTCTTCCACATCTGTTCCGGTGTTCTTGAATGTGATACCTAGATACTCAAATTCCTGACATTGCAGAATTCCCTGAACATCGTCCACTTTCAAGTTTCCGTTCTGGGTGCCTAATACACATAATATTTAGTTTTATTTATATTAACTCTCAGGCCCCATTCTTGGTACTCTTCTATCAGCTTTCTTGTCATATATTGTATGTCCTCTTTGTTACTGGCCAACTGGCCACTATGACCTGATCATCTGCGAACTGAAGAGTGAAGAGGCACCTATATCATTTATATACCCATTACCCATTCCATGGGTATAGAGATAAATGATCTTCCACTTTTTAAGTGCTACTGCTACGTATATTTTGAAAAGCGGAGAGATACAAAATCCTTGATGTAGTCCTTTATTCACTATAAATGTGTCTGTGAGTTTTTTACCTATCCTAATTCTTAATTTTGAGTAGTTCTTTAAGTGCCGTTATATAGGTGTGATTGATTCTGATTGTTAATACCTTCCATAGTCTGGATACTGGGACTGTATCTCATGATTTCTGTTATTTGTAGGTCCACAAATGCGAGGTTGGTTTCCAAATGTCTAGCAGATCTCTTTTCTATGATTTGTTTTAGGCAAATACACGTTGTCTGTACCTGATCTTCCTGCTTTAGAGCCGCACTGCTCTTCTTGCTCTATCTCTTTATAATCTTCTTCAATGAGATTGATATGCCCCGATAATTATTGCAGTCCAGCTCATTTCATCATTTTGTGAATGGATGATATAAAAGCTATTTTCCAGTCTTGTGGAACAGGATGTTCATTCAAGCATTTATTGATAAAACATGTGAGACCTTTAGAGAGCTTCTCAGTTCCCCATTTCGGAGTATATCCCTTTTGGGGCCGCTTAGCTTCCCCTGACTTAAAATTCTTAACAGTATTTTTTACTGTTTCTTCAGATATCTCAGCTACTTCTCCATGTACTTAAATATGTCTTGGAGAATCTACTTTCTTCTAATAGACCCTTGTAGTGTTCTATCCATTGCTCTGATTTGATTAACTGGATATTAGCTCTGCCCTTTCCTGGGTTTTTGACATTTGATATAAATCTCCATACCTCTGAGCATTTCCTTCCTCCTTATTGTTAATTTCTTCACATTTCTTATCCCATGACTCGTTCTTAGCTATAGTGATGCACGTACTTTCTTAGTTGTCTTTTCGTGTCTTCATAAACTTCAAGGTCTTGTTCATTTTTTGTTGTTAGCCATTTCAGATATTTTTGATTCATCTCTTGGACTATATAATAGCTTTATAAAAATTTTAATATCCATTCAGAAGTACCAGTCGTTCTAGTGACTTAACGAGGATATGTCGCTTCTCGAACACACAAATAAAATTAGGTTATAGGAATTTCCTATTTGTACTTGAAATTGACGTAGGTATTAGCAATCGACGTTCGTTTTTCTCGGGCCGGAGTTACCTAATTCCGTAATTCTTATTCTTAATATTTGTCGCTAATTCTTAATTCTTAAAAAGTTCAATTTATTTAACATTGGTGTTTTTAAAGATTAAGAAATAAGAACAAAAATTAGGAATTGGGTAACCCCGGCCAGGTAATTTTTTGTTTTATCCGATTCGTGATGGATAAATAAGGATGGGGTTATTCTTAATAGGTATTAAAAATACTATATCTCCTCGTTCCACCAGTATTTTTTGGTTTTTTTTTTCTTCGTTCCTATTGCTTCTTGGGTGGCTTCTATTAGACTCCTTATAATGTTCCCATAGAGTTTATTAGATTCAGGGTTCAATAGTTTGCTGTCGAGTCGCCTCTGATATAGGAATACAGTGCTTTCATGTCTTTAGCTGTCAAAATTGTATTTTTCGTTGTATCCACTGTGTCCGTGAGTGAGCATTGGTGTTATTTGTTCCTTTGGGTTCTTGTTCATTTATCTAAATGTCATAAGTATGTTGAAGAAATACTATGTATTTTTGTGGAAAAGTAAAGTAACATATTCTCGAGGGACGGTGTAAGTTGTTAGGCGAGGCTCAGCCGAGGCTAGCAAACACCAAACGCTGCTTTTCCTCCGCTGTACATTCTCAGAAAATTTCATATTACGATGATACCAGTTGGAGATGTGAGGTGCGCCCTCACTCGCAGTTCGCAATGTATTTTTTCTTGTATTACCCACTACAATCCTAATTTTTTCAATTTACACGGGATACCTTGAATATTTATTGATTTATGTTCACGTGCACTTTACAGAACATATTTCTAAATGGTAAACTGGAGAAATAAACCTAAATAATGATACACAAATTTACAACTTACAAAAAATATAAAGAATACAGCCTTTGTAATTATTTACTGATTTCTCTTTTTATTACATTCAGAGCGGTATTGAAAAGATCTACATGGGAAAATAACTGATTTTAATTAGTGACTAGACGCGTCTGATTCAATTCAGACCATACTCTATGCACAGGTTGGAAAAAGAGCTGCCTCTGTCGGGTTCTTCTTCCAGGAACCAGAAATAGAATTTCTGTCAGAAGTTTGGCCGAGTTGATAATGTTCTGCAGAATTTTGTTTCTCATGGCTGGGTACGCCGGAGAGCTGTAGACGAGTCTTATACTCAAGGTTCTGTTAAGGAAATCTCAGTTTGTAGAGTAGGTATTTGGCCAATTTATTTTGCACTTCTTCTATCATTCTGATGTGACATACATAACTTGGAATCCAAAATGGGCTGCAGTATTCAAGTGTGGATTGAATAAGACTGTAATATAGACAGATAATATGGACTTCGTATATCATCATAGGTATGTCTCTGGTGTTTCGTTTTGATGAAACCTAGAAGTCTAGAACTTTTCATGACTATGGCTGTTTCAAAGGTGACTCCTCTAGGTCTCTTAAGGTGTCGACTGTTCCCGGATTGGCGTTGTTGATGGTGTATGTGGGCAGTATAGAATTCCTGGTCTTGTGAAAAATCATGTGTTTTGCACCTAACAACATTAAGTTTGAGAAGATTTGAGTTGCACCAAGCGACCAACCTATCAATATGCTGGAGAGAGGTAGAGTCACGGAGAGTGCAAGTCCACAACGGCGAAAAACTTCAAGTCGTCAGCGTATGTAGTAAACTAGAGGGATGATTGGAAGCATTCGATGACGTCATTCATGAAAAGAGGAACCCCGGATGGAACTATGAACTCGTGGGATAGGTACCTACTGCACCGCACCGCACACACCAACTCTTTGATATCTTCACGTTAAGTACATATATAAACATTTTTTCGTGATACTGCGTACTCTTATCTTAATATAATATTTAACAACCGCCGGGTGTGTTTTTTTTTTTTGTCAGATTGAAAGATATCTGCAGTATAACGAAAAATCTAGAACGAAACATGGCCGATAACTACAAAACAAATAACAGCCTTGGCTGATTATGATCCTCGGCTATCGTATCGGATCACAAACTTCAGCCCGGCCGTTATTTGCTATTTATCGGCCTTATAACGTTAATAAGTATAAGAAACGTTCACCAAAGCCCATATCTGAGAGTTTTTTTTGTTACAAGTTATGGCACACACTATCAACGGCCTTTGAATATCCGTGAAGATCACGTCTACCTGTTTTCCTGATTCCAAAGCTTTCGTTAGAATTGATGGTAAACAGCAAGTCTTGTAGCAGTGGATTTTCCCTTACAAACCGTGCTGTTCGTTAGCAATGTAAATAAAAATAAATAAATAAGAAGAGGTTTATTGTGTGGAAATCAGAAAATACATTCAAAACAAAAAGTATGCAGTGCTGCTAAGCATATTTTCATACACAGCTGAGACTGTTTAGGTATAACAAAAAAGACCTAATTATTATGCAATAAAATCTACACTTGAAGTCAATCATTTAAATCAACAATGAATTTTTGCAAAGATTTCTTATAGGCCCTACCTTTTGGTATCATGTTGTAAATATGTGCGCCCAAATAAGAGAAAGAAGATTTAAAAAATTCAGTAGGTACGAAGTAATATGTAATGGTATTTCAAGAGTATCATTCCTTGTTGACCTGGTACGATGTCACCAAGCCTCACCCCTCACCAATAGTTCGAAGAGATTTTCTGGGCAATTGTTCTTAATAATATTTTGTATCAAAACAGCAAAATGTAAAAATCTTTTCCTTCATCTTGAGCATTTCACTTTTAGTAATGTAAGAAATAACATGTTCTCGTCTATTTATGTTAAATATATATCGTACCTACACAATTACTGTTCTAAATCTTTTGTAGTCTGTATTTGTTTTGGTCTGTAAGAAAGGGTCCATAAACAAAATCTGCATAATTGCAGTGTGCCAAGCAAAATATTGTTACGCCGCCAGGATGTCAAGAATCCAATTTAGCGGGATTTTTGCGGGGTTTTCTAGAAGACTAGTTATCGTACATGAATAAAAATATAAACAGGCCAGCATTGGTTTGTATGTTTTAAGTTTAAGTTTGTCTGTGATACGATTTAAATAGTGATTATTGTTGAGAGTTGTGAAGAATTTAGTTGTTGAGTTAGTTATTAAAGTAATTAGTGTAAAAGTGTATAGTTACGTGGATTAAATTATTGCTGTGTTAATTGGACTTTGATTTTGGAATAAACAAAACAGCGAACCCAAGATTTCGGTCACGCAAGGCAAAGCCGTGACAATTATGTTTTTAGGCGACTGTCACAAAAAGATTAGTTTTACGGATTCAATATCATCCCTAAAGTATATCTTTTTTGGCCGCATTTACTTTACGGCCGCATTCACTTCACGGCCGCATTTGCTTTATTACTTTACGGCCGCTTTTACTTCACGGCCGCTTTTACTTCACGGCCGCTTTTACTTCACGGCCGCTTTTACTTTACGGCCGCTACTTTGGTGAAAATAAACAATTTTTTCTATAATCACACTCTCTTTACCGTAGTTTTTGTTATTAATAATTGTGTATCTACCTATCTTTGCTGGATTATTTATTTGGTCAATAAAGTTTAAAGCTACTGTTGAATTTTATTCTTTTTTCAAGAACAAACACTCGCCTAAAAAATTTTGTGTGCACCTCGGCCGAATGATCTTTTTTGGCCTCACCTGAAATTTGCTTGACCTCGGCTGCGCCTCGGCCGCAAATTTCTGATTCGGCCAAAAAAGATCAACTTTACGGCCTTGGTACACAAATAACTATTTCTGACAAATTACACATTGTAAAAAATAACGCAGGATCTAGCAACTGGTATGAAAGTTTGTTGGTTGGGAATTTCGCGAATGACATTTTTGACAAAACCACTCGCCTGACGGCTCGTGGTCTATGCTCGTGGTTTTGTCAAAAATTTCATGAGCGAAATTACCAAAAAGCAACAAACTTGAATAAAACCAAGAGAATAATTTTGCCTACATAAAGTGCGGTTTTTTTTTAAAGATAAAAGTCAAACTGACATTAGGCTGGCAATACAATGTAAAATTGTCAATGCTTTCAAATTTTTCATGTAGAAAAGGCTTGTGTTGCCATTGCCAACATAGTTACTAAATTTTTGACTTGGAGAATTATCTTTAAAAAAAAAACAGATTTTAATTTTTTCTTGAGTGGTATTCGGCTGGACTATTTCACGAGAAAAACAAGCCAATAAATTTTTGATTGGAAAATTTATTTTCTTTAGGTGACACTTGTCAAACGTAAAACACTAGTGAAATAGTCCCTGAAAAATGACAGATATTCACAGATATTCTTGAATGCCATCCATGCCATCAAGAATCATCACGAAAAAGAAGTTCGTGATTTATGGAATCGAAAGCCCAATTGGTCACGTCTAGTAGAACCAAGGCTGTACACACAGACAATGAAATGAAATAATAAATATAGTAAACACCCTGAAAAATTGGAGGTAGCCCTGGTTGGGATGGCATTCTGGTGGGAAGCACTCCGAAACTAATTTTGAATTATATAATAAAACCTCTGAGACGCATAGTGGACACAATGTTTCAAACTGGCAGGTTTCCGGAAGTTTTGAAAAGGATCCGATAGTTATTATTCCCATTAACTTCCAATCCATAAACAAGGCAAGGCTACTGATTTGAATAATTATCGACCGATCGACATCCCTGATAAGTAAAAGTAATGTGGCTAAAATTTAGTGATACATCCATGCCTCGTGCCTTCAGCATTACTTCTTATCGATGACAAATGTTTCTTAACTGTGTCTGCATCGATCAAGGAAAAGAAAAATGGTTCCCTGCTTTGTTCAGGTTTTCTGTTGGAGTTATACCAAGTTCATTACGTACACGCTTGAAGTTGTGGAACTGAATCTATACATATCTATCTATATACTACAAGGTGTTGTTTAATAAATCAGGGTCATCTATATGATCGATATTTTTAAGTTCACAATAGAAAGATCTCGAACCTTGCGTTTTTCTTTTTTTTTTTAATTATTGAAACCCTTTTTCTTTTTCTTGATCAGGTACATTGTCTCGTGTCTTATTTGAACTTAGATACTGTTGGTATTTCTTCCTTTCATCTGCTATGTCTTTCTCTATTTTTTGATCCCACGGGCCACGAATAAAGTGGGGGCCTTCTTCCATTTTTTTCGTATTTGCCTAGGGCTTCAAATGCTGCACTGTGAATAATCTCTTTGATATGGTGGTAATGCATTTCAAGGTTTTGGAAGTTCATAATACTCTGTTATTTTTGATCTAATCTCTTCATGTACAATCCCTCTACGCTTTACGAGAGTTTAAAATTGTAATGCCAAGAAAGATACAAAGGTCTAAAATCACTTTGAAAAACATCCCCATCAATATGCCTGCAACTTCGGTATGGAGCAGTGTGCCTTATATTGGTAACTATCACAGGCACAGATCACCTAATACAGATGCGAAAGTACGTATACTTGTCGTCGAAGATATTCTGTGACGAACAATAGATAAAGATCGCCCGCGTCAGGACAATTAACGTGGCCGAGTGCGTGAGGATGTTCCAGCCTGTGTGTTTACATATTTTTGCGGGTAGAAAAAAATATTTTTTTGCTGTTTGTGAACCAATTAAAGAAATAATATTATATTACTGAGCTTCCGCATTTATATAATAAATATGTTCAAAATACATTGATGTGGCATTGGTGCGGCCAGCCTATGTCTATCAAATTAATCTTGAACCACGAATTCGCAGCTCTTTCGCATCTGTATGTAAGTAATCTGTGCCACAGGATATGACCAAACACTGTTTCATGATCTGATTTAACGTGATTTGTGACAACGACCCACCAGTACTAAGTCGAGAGCTTTTTGAGACCCCTGAGTAATACTTGTCGGGTATCTTATCAATTAGTTTTACCCAAATAACATACAGATTTGCTGCAAATACTTGTAGGTAACAGTATTGCTATCGAGAGACAGATGATCTGTGTTTAGGTCACGTCACCTTATCAGTAATAATGCATATATCATGTAGTACCTCTGGTATTGAGTTTCATACACATTCAAATGCTCCATAGGGCATAGATGGAGGCGTATAGATTCACAAGCTCTAAAGCTGGTAGCTGCATAAACTGCTATTCCTCCGTCAGTTCGTCAGTCCTTGATCTGCAGCGGGAGAAACACCTTTTATGTTGAAGTGAGTAGTATCCATTTGTTTGGAGATTCAAGTTTCTGTGATGTTCATAATTTGCGCTCTAGAATTTTCTGTTGAAATCTGCAGATCAGACAATTTGTTGCACATAGACTTTGGGTGTATATGAGCTATTTTGACTTGGTTCAATGAGTTATTATTATTAGGTACTGGGCTGACAACTGCTATTAGTATCTGTTCTCAAAAATCGCTTTATTCGGAAAAATTTATAAGGCTTTAGAATAATGCCTGATTGCCAAGTTTCAGGATTATATTATTATTATATATATTTATAAGGTTGATGTAGTTATTAAAGCATGAATACACATCGTCTGTTAGGATGGATTCCATAATTTTAGAGAGATATGCCTGTATAATTATTCACATCAGTGTTATCTTCTGATTTGTGAATAGGGAAAAGTGTTGAATTTTTGCAACTTCTGGGAAAAATGCCAGTATCCAAAGAAAGTTGGAAAATATGCTTCAGATGTTCTATTAGTGATGTGCGACTGCCTTTAAGAAACACTGGGGAGAGACCATCCGGTCCAGGACTCTTTGAGGCATCGAGATCCAAAATTTTTCTCTGTGTATTTTCTCGATTGTGAAGAGATGATCAGAGAGGTATGTTCCAAAAGGGAAGTCTTCTTTGATCTCAACATCCTTGTGGTCAGAGTTACAATTCTTGAAGTGTGTGGCAAAGAGTTCAGCAATCTGTTGAGGGTTCGAAGAACGGGTATTGTTAAAGTGTATCTGGTTCGGCAAGCCTGTATCTCTCTTCAAAGATCTTATAAATGACCAGAAGCGTTTCACATTTCATATGTCACTATGGTACTCCACGTCTTTCCGGACTGCAGAGTAAGCTTTTTAGTCTCTTTGCCGTCTTGATCTTCTTTGCTTCTTATAGAGTCCATTTTCATGTGGAACTAACTTTTTTAGCTCAGAGTTGAACCAATTGGGATATTTTTCTACACGGTTTTTTTTTTTTTTTTTGGGAACATACTGATTAATTCCTTGTTGCATAACTTTGTACAAACCAGCGACCGCTTCGTCAGAATCACTATTATGTACTTGAACACAGATTTCAGTTACTGTTGAAGTAATTTTTGAGTTCCGTTGAGTTTGCTTGTTTAAGTAAGTATAAATAATAGTACGATCTTTGGCTTTTAGCATGGATGAATATCAAGCAAGTTCAGTTGCGAAAATAAGATCCAGGGATCTATTGTAATTGTTCTTCACACTGTTAAGTTGCTGAAGTTCCATGAACAACATACTATCTATCAGAGTTTGCTCAGCCAAGGAGTGAATAGATTCCGGCACCAGAAAATCATCCTCAACAATCCAGTTACATTGGAAAGATTGAAGTCGCTGATTATGATAAAAATGGCATATTTGTTTTTCAATGATCCACATACTGTTACAAATGACCTGTAAGTCATCTCAGGGGAATTAGTAAGAAATACCATTGTTCATGTCATATTTTTTTTATTCAATCATAAAATGCAATAAAACTGGTGAATACATTGAAAACAAAATAAAATAATCATCCTTTACCCCGATTTTGGTATTAGTTTTTACTATTACATACCACTAATAAGCCACTACTTTTTCAGAATCTAAAGAATACTCAGAAAATAGCAATTTCTATTTGTTGTTGTGGGCTCATAGGTCCAATACAGCAGTACAATTTTTAAGCTACCTACCTTCAGAAATTGATCCATACTGTATACAAAATAAATAAAAAACATCCTAAATGAAATATGCAATATGATCCTACCTAAATACAAAATAAATAAAAAAACATCCTAAATATTCAATGTTATTCGATATGATCCTCAGTATAAGAACATATTTTCTGAAAACATCAAAGTACCCACTGAGACAACAAATAAAAACTGCCAATAGTCACCTTTCATTCTTCAATGCATGTTTTTTACAATTTCAAGGTTAAAATATCATGTTTCATAAATCTCTGCACAGAAACGCGACTCTTATTGGGTTACTGGCAAATATCCTTTTTCCTCCTGCTAGAAAAGCTATATCATAATACTATAATCATTTTGGTATTAATACTACAAGAGATTTAAAAATAAATACATATTCACTTGATGGGTGTCCATAAAATATTTAAAAAATGCCCTAAATAAATAAATAAAATCAAATAAATAGTTTGGTGATGTGGCCGAAAACTTGCTACAATTACATTCATCTAGAGCATTACAAAGTGTTTACCTAACTAGTTTCAACATCAATTTATTTCACAAATATTCAGTGGTTATAATAATAAATAGATACATGCTTCATGCCAAGATAACTTATTCAATCATCAAATATTACACATTGGTGAAATTTTTATTTACTTGCAATGTAAATTCAATTTAAAAATATTTGGTGGATATATTATTATTTATGTATTATGCTTTTTGCAAAGTCCTATTTGACAAATATTTACTAGATTATCAACTACTATTTGTTTGTAAATCAAATCAAAAAGGCACACTGAACTTTTAAGTCACTAATCAACATTCACACAATTAGTTTTTAGAATTTTTACAATAAAATAAAAAGTTTTATGAGATAGATTTCAAGGTTACGAGCGAAAATTTGTTAAAAAAATCATATTCCTCTGGGCAATAATCACCCTTAAACTAAACATATAAATAGGTATGTAGATTCTATAAAAAACATTATGTTTTCTAAGTTTCTTTATACATTTTTCTAAACCAGCCTAAAAAACAACCAAGATATATTTGAACAGCTTTTGGTCATTATTTATTCTATTTAAAACTACCTAATTCGATATTCACAATTCCACCTTTCTTAGAAAGATTTTATCATAACATTACTATAGTCAATGATCACTTTCTGTTTAAAGCTTACACAGAGTTATTTTGTCAAGCCACAAATAGCAAATAAATTTAAATTTCAGGATCTTATGTAAGAGTAACACTCTGTATAAACTTTAAAATAAAGAGTTCCTATCCTATATTAGTTTAGTAGGCCAACCAAGGATGATGCTGTAAAGATTCTTTAGATCTGTCTCCATAATCGTAGAGGACCTGGAATTGTTAAGTAATTTTATCAGTGTCTGTTATTGGAGATGACATTGTATAATTTTTTTTAAAGAAAACTGACCTCTTCACCATTCTTGATATCATCTTTGGCAATCAAAATCAGTCTTGGCTTCTTGTCAACCATTAACGTTTTGGTAACAAGATTAGGATTGGTCCGAGAATGGTTAACCAATCTGCCTAACCTACCAGTCTCTTGTGTAGCATCGATACTAAGAAAAATCCATTAAAAAAAAAATATCTGGCCAGTATTCTAGATTGCTTACCAATACTGAACTCCGTTATGTTTAAAATAGTACATGTAGCAGCCGGCGTTCTCATTTTGGGCGTACATTTCTTCCCTCTGTCTAGCTTCTGTTGTATCCATCAATATTCCACTGTATTCTACAACAAAGTCGCCTCTACAGAAATCTTTTGCTGCCACTACGCCTCTACCTTTATCTTTGAACAGTCTAACCTGAAATACAGAAAATCAATTTCAATTGTTATGAGATAGCTGACTATGTTTGTGATATAATGTTTCATACATTTATGTGGCTTTGAATATTTTGAATACCTACTAAATATTTCTATCAAGTATTTATACTTTTCTTTTCATATGTGTAGATTATTCGGCCTTCGACAGCTTACAGGAATATCAATAGTGATGTTATTATAGTAATTAATGATACTAGTTCGATATGAACACCATTTTTTAGTTACACAAGTTTCATTAATAAAGTTCATATCGAACGTGTATCATTCAAAATTTAATCTACGATGGTCCAAATAGATTTGATTTGCCTTGAAATAGCAAAAACTGTTCAAATTAAAATTCAAAATTTAGCAGGTGCTTGTACTAGTCGGGAACCTGCTTGTTGATTTTTAGAACTTTGACTTTGGCAGCTTAAATATATTGGAGTCAATTTTTGTGCCATAAATTCAGTTTTATAGTGAAAAATCATATTAATATTGGTAATTCTGAGTTCGAATGTCCCTTTGAATATCGGGACAGGACAGCATTAATGAAAAGGTTCTTCTGGTAACTAGCTTTCTTTTTATATATTTTTCCGGATATTTTTAATTTCATAATTTGGGTGTTCTTATGAATTCTTAAATGCACTAGTGCTATTATGAAGGACCTAATGACATTCAAATGACAACAGAGAATGACAATGCTGAATGTGTCATAATGACACCGAAATAGATTATAGTAGATTATACCACGAGTCAATAATGGTAGCTATTATTCCCGAGGAATATTTACGAACTGAGCCGCTTTAGCGGCGAGGGAGTAACATTCCGAGGGAATAATAGCCATTATTGCGAGTAGTATACTCTACTTTATTTACGACAAAATATTTTATTTGAGATTTTCAATAGAAAATTTAATCCATTTCAATACAAATCCACAAGCACTACCTGTTTGACACTGACACTTTTGAGCAATAATGACCATTAATCCCGCTACTGGTCATTATTCCCTGCGGGTGACATTAGTCGTAAATAATAGTAGATTATACCACGAGTCAATAATGATACCTATTATTCACGAGGATTAGTACAAACTGAGCCGCGTTAGCGGCGAGGGAGTAACATTCCGAGGGAATAATAGCCATTATTGCGAGTAGTATACTCTACTTTATTTACGACAAATTAATTTATTTGAGATTTTCAATGAACAAATTTCATCCGTCTCATAATTTTCAATACAAATCCACAAGCACTACACGTTTGACACTGACACTTTTGTGGAATAATGACCATTAATCCCTGGAGGAATAACATATGTCATTATACTGCCAAAATCACAAATATAATACGCACATTATACATTAGTCGTAAATAAATTATATTAAAAACCCAGTATTATTTATTAGGTAATGTGTATAAATTTTATATAAATAAATTATGTACCTCCAATCCGTCTTCAGTTTTGTCCCGCACCATTTTTTCCAATGCCAATTGCTGCTCTTCTAAAACTGTCGTCTTGGTCTTTCTTACAGACCGTCTAACAGGGAAAAATTCTGTTAATTTTTGCTGCCCATTAACTTTGTTATTGGTGAAATTATTTTTGCTTGATTCTTTAACACTGAGACTTTTAACTTCACCATTTTGATTATCACTATTGCTGACTGCATGGTTATTAAATAATCTAGAAAGTTATAGAAATAGTTTATTTGAAAAAGTATTTTTGGGATGAAAGTATTGTAGTTACGTTTTCCTGGATTTAGGTGCTGGTGGTTGACATATAAAAGGCTTCTTGCAATTATTTTCCTCGTTATTATCATGTCTTAGTTCGATTCTATGAGGCGTAGGTGGTGAATTTGTGCCTCCTGTCATCAGTAACTTCTGACGTCTAGTTTGGATTTGTAGGGGAGTGGTTGGGACATTATGGGTAGCTAAAAAAAAACAATATATTTGTATATAGTAGATAAAATTAATGGTGAAGTTCTTATGAAATCTCCTCGGATATCTCTCTAAGAACATATTCAACATTTGTACAAATTAATGTGAAATTTAAATTTGTTTCAATTTCATTCAACTCTTTCTTTCAACAGTTTTCATCACAAAGTTTCCATAATTTGTGAAAAATACAAACAAACACCAGAATAAATTTAACTGGTATTGATCTGCAATACTGACATGAAAGTGTCAAAGTTTATCAAAAAGTAAAACCCAATAAATTCCAGGAAAGCTATAATTCGATGAGGGTTTGATTAAATTTTCAGTGGTATGGAAAGTTCAGGCAAGATGGTCGAATGCATAGTAGAAACAGGCAAAACCCTAAACACAAACAATCAAGGCATAATAAAATATTTATGTGGAATGGAAGAGGAGAGAAACAATTTGGGAACTATTATACAGAAACAGTTTGAGGAAAGAGAAAAAATCGAATCCGATATTGAAAAATTAACTTTCAAATTAGGTCTAATTAACAAAAGTCTGACAATGAGAATCAAAACGAAAAACAACTATGACAAAACCATAGACGAAATAAAAGTGCACTACGAGAAACTGGTGGACAGTTCGAATAATTTGAGGGAAATTGTTGAGAAAACTCAGACAGAACTTGATAGCCTTATGAATAAGAAAATAGGCACCGGCACTCAGCCTGAAGAAGATGAAATCAAAATATTGTATATTAAACCTTTTGCGAACGATGACCAACCTACCAAAGAGAAAAGGCCACACAATGCTCCTGCAAAATGGGACAGTATAATTGGGGAAAAAATAAGGAAATCTCAAGAAAAAATTACCAATAAAAAAGGTAAGCTTATGTTTTTATACAATTTTTAAAACAATAATTATTGCTTTTACAGTTTCTTCTGAGAAAACAATTATTATTGCAGATCTTAGTGGAAATAAAGCAAATGGCAAGAGAATAAGAAAGGTACCTATACTTATTAAAACAAAGAAAATTTATTTTTTCAAAAATACCTTAATGTATGTATATTTTTAGCCAGAAAAATCTCTACAAAAGGAGTCTGAAATAGAAACAGAAATAATTCATAATAATAAACCAATGATTGAGTTGGAAAGTTCTTCTGGAAAAGTTACTGATGTGACATCTAGCTCAAATTTTCCAGAAACCAACGAACATGATACAGAACCTTCACTTTAGGACTAGGAGTTTGTCCCTTTCCCGCCAAGCCCTTTGAAGTTTATTGCAGCTAGTTTTGTTTTTTTTTTTTGTTTCTCATGTTTTAAAAAAATAATCATAAAATTGTTGTGTTACATTAATTCTTTTTTCAAATATGCAAACAGCTGGTGTTTTATCTCAATAGCTATTTCTGATCACATGAGTGAAAAAAAGGGGTTTTACACACATGTTACATACAAAATTTTCTCTACTACTGACAATATCTATCGGGATATCTATACCCATAAAATTGAAAATGTGTCTAATCGTGAGCGCATCACGCTTAAACTACTTCAAGAGAAGTCGTTAAAATTACTGATTTTACACAAAACTGCAAGCCAGGGTCCGAGCGTCAGAATTCCTTCAGTCACAAAATAAGGCTTGTATGATTGTCTAAGATTAAGCCGACACAGATACCTCAATGCTCTCTTTTGGATGACGAAGACCTGCCCAAAAAGGTATGCCGCACAAGATCCCCAAAAACGGATGCCATATCTTAAATGGCTCTCCACAACAGAAAAATATAGGTTTCTAGCAAATATTCCCGAGAATAGTCCTATCTAAATGGGATTTGACAGCCCAGACAGCATAACACCCCAATGAAAGCCTGCCACACAAGGCTATTAAGTATATGACAATCAAACCGGAACTTGGAATCCACAAATAGACCCGAAATTTATTGAGTCTTCCTTATCCTTTTTATAAAAAGAAAATTAGGATTTGTTGATTTATAAATTGCTCACAGACTACCTGATTTTCCCTGAGCTTCTCTCAGCTGTAAACTTCTAGGTCCCAAGAAGAATTCTTAGAGATGTGTGCTGGTTTTCATTGGCGAGATATCGCACCTCATAAGGCCAACCTATGACCCATTAATCGGGCTGTGTCTTATGCCAATGAGATACAGGTATAGACATATTTACTGTGTCATTGTACCAAATGAGGCGATCACTGTGATCTTGCTGTGTATGCATGTGTTTTTATTTCAAGTTTTTGTTTTAAATTTTATTGTTTTTGTCTCTAGCTTTTACTTTTTTGGCCGTTTCTTTCCATAATCTGTTCTTTTTATTTTAGATACTTATATGTAGTTTTTTCCCGTTGAAATTGAAAATAAAAATAATAAGTTTAAGAATAATTGATTTTTCTTCTATTACAGGCTTTTGAGAATGTTCATCATTCTTTTATGAAAAAAAAAATTGGAAGGAAACAGAAATTCAAGAGCCTGGAATAGTAAAAAATTGACAGTAAAGAAGAGAGAAATAGAGAGGAGAAAATTAACGAAAATCGATCATTTCTATTTTATATTCCAGGCTTTTCAATGTTCCTTAATCTTTTTGATGGAGGATTACTATAGATTCTCACAGCTATGTGTGTATTGCAAACAATATGCCCACATCAGCCATCAAAACTACTTAGATTGCAGGTTTCAAGATAAAATTCGGTTTTGGATATATATAATAAAATTTCCCAGCTGAAGGATAACTTAGGGACAGGTCCAGATGGTATCCCTGTTTCTGTCATTAAAAAGCACATATACTTGTTCCTCGACTTGTTCTCTTACATCCTGTGCGAAATCTACAATACATCATTGTCTACAAGAATTTTTCCAACGGTTTGGAAGACTAGTCTTGTAATCCCAATTTTTAAGAGTCGACACAATTACAGCATTGAGAATTACAGGCCAATTTCAAAAATGTCTATATTTTCTAAGATTTTTGAGTCAATAGTTACAGATAAATAATTAACACCTCTATTCAAGAATATAATTTTACAAGAACAACATAGTCACCACCTTGTTGGAGTTTGAGCAGGCTCTGTTTGATGCATTGGTCAGGGGTATCAGGTGAACCCTCGGGTGGACCTGATATATACTGAATTTTCCAAGGCATTTGACACGGTCGACCATAAAATTCTGGAGAAAAAACTGGAAAGTAAGTATAAGGTTTCATGGATCATTTTTGAGGTTCCTGAAGAAAACAGAGAGTGAAGATAGAAAACTCAGTCTCATCAGTCACATCATCTCTGGGTCCTTATTCTTGAAACTGGGGAGCAGCGTTCCCAAGAGAATGAGTATTCTGTCTTTGTTATTCATATTATCAGTTGCATATCGTTGAGAAAGACGGAACACTTGTTCTCCTGGGAACGCTGCTCCCCTGTTTCAAGAATAAGGACCCTGGTGTTTTGCAGAGTGGGCATCTATCCCCTCTCCTTTTCAATTTTTTCTTGCATGATGTTAAGAATGTTTTTAAACACTGTAAATTTCTCAGGGTTGGCAGGATATACATCAGTGATAAATATCCTGATATATATCTTGATAAATATCATGATATTTATGCTATAAATATCATGATATATATCAATATTAATTGTTTGGCCTTCTTTTCTTATTTTATAGTTTTATTATTTTATGTTGATAAGTTTAACGGCCGTAGTAGTCTATTTATGAGGAGGAAATCACAGGGATCTTGGCCAAAACAGTCTATATTAAGTCATTTATCAATTATTATTTTATTTATTTTTATTTTTGTATAAGAAATATCAGGTTTTTTAGGGCGGGTATTATGAAACTATTTTGACAGATAACTAAATGTTAACTTGTGGAATTACTATGAGAAGTACCGTCATTCCAGAAGTTAACTTCTAGTTATTCTGTCAAAATAGTTTCATAATATCCGCCCTAAGTTGTAGTTTTCTTTTTGTTGTTGAGTTCAGAGTCGTCATTTTTAGCTTCCTAGATAGGAAGCTATGGTGATAGCCCGATTTTGACCATGTCAAAATTTCATTAGATCTTGACGTTTTGGATCATTTTAATGGTTCATTTACATTCACTTCAAAGTCCAATTTGTCTTGAAATTGACGTGCTTGCCATATGGCGACAGCACAGATCCATTTACATTGAAATAAATTTGAAGTTCACTTCGAAGTGCACTTCAAATTTGGGCGAGCTGCTTGCTGAAGGCAAGGAGAAATTTGTGGAATGTCAAATTTTTAAATTCTCATAAAATTCTGACGTTTTGACTTGACGGTTTTTCTCAATTTCCAATATCCAAATAAACGGAACAAGCAAAAAAAGCAATCATGAATATTTGGTTAGACGATGGAAGGCAGGCTGTCGGTAGTGAAAGTGAAAATTACGGAAATATCGAGGAAAATATTGAAAATTATTATATTGTTGATGAAGACACAGAAGACATTGCTCAGGATACTCAGGAATTCTCTCGGTGAATTTTTGCATAAAAATGGCCCACATAATGAAAGAAGACTTTCAAAACATGTAAAACTCATACATTGATCTTTTCCTGCAGGGGGGTCTTTTTTTCTTATTTTTTAGGTGCAAAACACCCAAAACAGCCGCAAACGTTCCCAGAACCACAATTTTTTTCTGATTCTCCATGTCCATATTCAAAAATTCAAAAACTTCCAAACCTACAGAAAACGCAAATAATAAACAAACCTCGATCAACCTGAGTGAATTTTGACAATTTTGTTCTGCAATGTAAATCATAAAATATCAAACGTCAATTTTAACTTAAAGTTAGAAGTGAATGTAAATGCTCCTTAAGCCTTTTTGACAAGGTGGCACATTTCCGTCTGTGTGTGTGTGTGTGTATGTATGTGTGTGTGTGTGTGTGTTGGCGTTTTTATGAGAAAACGGCTCGATGGAATTTGATGAAATTATGGAAATAGGTATAAGAAGATGTGTAGGGAAAAGTTACGCAGAGATATATCGGGTCTTCAATAAAAAAACCAATCAAAGATTGCTATGGTTTTTCAAACGTATGTCTTAGCGATATTTTTCTTTAATTTTGTCAATGAACTTAATGTCAAAATGACATGTCAAAAATCCCGACCAATAAAGAAACAGTAATGCGACGTACGTTTTCGTAATCAAAGCAATCTTCGATTGGTTTTTTTTTGAAGACCCGATAGGAAAAAAAAAATTCCTCTTCAAGATATGACGTTATTGATCTTTTTTTAAATGGGAACGCCATCTTTTTTTTCATTGATTGGTTAGAGCTCATTTTGCTTTAAAAAAAAAATTAAAAAAAAAAAAATTAAAAAAAAAAAAAAATCTCAATAGGTTTCATTGGGACATTAAAACCTGAAAAAACGTCAAGATCTATTAAAATGAATTCATGGTTTGAAATGACAATAATTAATGACAATGACAATCATTAATTAGGTAGTTATTTGTCTAGGAAGCGTTATGTCAAAAATTTGACATCTGGTTTTTTGTTGTTGAACCCCGTCTTAAGGCAAACAAACATAAGTAATATAAATGACATGTTTTCATATTCGTAAACTTGAATTTTTATTTACCTACTACACTTTACATTCCTATATAAAGGGTGGGGACTTTAACTGGAACTAATTCGCTAGAACCTTCGAATAAAATATGTGGACAAAACGCAAAAACACATCGATCAAGATTTTTTGCTTGAGTTTTTTTCACATTAATTTTTTTATACAGGGTGTTCCAACAACAGCTGTATGGTTGTCAACTTTATTTTTCCAAATGGTAGCCCCTGTATATTATAACATTTCTGGATTCTGCAGAAAATTCTAGACATATTTCATTCACAATGTCATATACCTATCTTTAACTGTTTCGGAAATATTGACAGTTGAAAATGGACTTTTTTGCAACTTTGACAGGCTGTAAAACCTTAACGGTTAATTTTAGAGGAAAACCTATTTCACATTCCTATCTTAAATTTTCATAAGCTATCATTTGACACCAACTTTGAATTTAATCCATGATTAAAAATTCCAGGTAAATTCAATCTCCAGTTAAATTCAAAGTTAGTGTCAAATGATAGTTTATGAAAATCTAAGACAGGAATGTAAAACTGGTTTTCCTCTAAAATTAACCGTTTAGGTTTTACAGCCTGTCAAAGTTGCAAAAAAGTCAATTTTCAACTGTCAATATTTCCGAAACAGTTGAAGATAGGTATATAACATTGTACATGAAATATGTCTAGAATTTTCAGCAGAATCCAGAAATGTCATAATATACAGGGGGTACCATTTGGAAAAATAAAGTTGATAACCGTACAGCTGTACGCCCTGTACACCCTGTATAAA